TTCTACGTCCCTTCCCTGTCCTGCAGTTCCCTCGCGCTCCCTTACAGGCCTCCACGTTCCCTCGTTCTCAAGGAACCTGGTTGGTGTCGGCTGTCTCCAGGACCTCGGCGTCACCACCACGTTCCCCGGGCACGAGCGGTTCGCTGTCTGTTATGAGGCTGTCTCAGGTTCCCCTCTTGCGACGTTCCCCCGGGACCCGGTGTCCGGTCTGTTTACCCTCGACACCGCTTCCCCCCCGGTTGGTGCGTCCTCCCAGGTCGCTGCAGCTTGCTCGTGTCATTCCCTCACTCACTCGTCCCTTCTCTGGCACCACCGCTTAAGTCACCCTGCTCTCCCTCGTCTGCGTCACATGTCCCAGCACGGTCTTGTCTTAGGTCTCCCCGCGTCGCTCCCTGCCCTTCCTCCCTCGACTGCGCCATCGTGCACGCCTTGCGTCGAGGGCCGCCTCCGCCGTGCTCCTCACTCCTCCTCGCTGCGCCCTGCGACTGCCCCCCTCCAGACCCTGCACCTGGACGTCTGGGGCCCTGCCCCCGTCCCCGGACCGCGCGGTGAGCGCTACTTCCTTGTGCTCGTCGATGATTACACGCGCTACACCACGGTGTTTCCTCTGGAGCAGAAGGCCGACGTGCCCGACGTTCTTCTACCGTGGGTTGTGGCTGTGCGTCTTCGCTGCAGTCTCCCCGTGTTGTGTCTCCACTCTGACCGTGGCGGCGAGTTCGCCTCTGGTCGGCTTGGACAGTTCTGTCGTGCGGAGGGCATCACCCAGACGTACACCTTGCCGGACTCGCCACAGCAGAATGGGGTTGCTGAGCGCCGCATTGGCTTGGTCATGGAGGTTGCTCGTACCTCCATGATTCATGCTGATGCCCCCCATTTTCTGTGGCCGTTCGCTGTTCGCTACGCTGCTCACCAGCTTAACTAGTGGCCACGCTCTCAGCGGCCACAGGTTTCGCCGACCCTCCTCTGGACCGGGTCCCCTGGTGACGCGTCTGCGTTCCACGTCTGGGGCTGTCTTGCTCACGTTCGTGCCTTTGGCACGGACAAGCTCACTGCCCGCACGGTCCCCTGTGTCTTCCTTGGTTTCCCCCTCGACTCGTCTAACTGGCTGTTCTACCACCCCCCGTCTCACCGCTTCCTCCACTCTCGTGACGTCATCTTTGACGAGTCTGTCTCCTTCTACCGTCGCTTCCCTCACCGAGGTCTCCCGGTTGCCCTGCACCTGTTCCTTGCTCCCTCTCCCCCGGTAGCCCCTGCGCCTCCCCCGCCTCGCCCTGCCCCGTCTGGTGTCTCTCACGTCACTCCCCTCCTGTCGGTTGTCCCCGTTGAGGAGTCCGCTGACTCTAGTGGTACACCTGGCCCGTCCGTGCCGTGTCCCCCTCCCCCGGTGTCTTCGCCTCCACGGTCGCAGTCGCCCCCTCTGTCGCAGCCGCTGCCGCCGTCGCCGCCGCCGCCGTCGTCGCTGCTGTTGCCGCTGCCGCCGTCGCTGCCGCCGCCGCTCTTGGCCCCTGCGGCTGCTCGCGTGGAGGAGGGTGTTCGTCCTGCAGCTTCTGGGGGTGCCGCTGGTGTTGGAGGAGGTCCTCGCTCTGGGGGTGTTGGTTCTGGGGGTGCTGCTGTTGAGGGTTCCGCCACCGGTCATCCTCCCTCTGCCGGTCCGAGCGTTCCGCCACAGTCGCCGCCGGTCTCCGCTCTCCGCCTACTCGGCCTTCCCTCCCCAGACCGCTCCCCGGTGTCTTCCCCGCCGTCTGCTGACCTTCCTGTCTACGGTCCTGTGTTCCCGCCGCCGGACTCGTCTCCGGCCCGGCTTCCTCCTCGTTCTCCTCCTGTGTCCCCTCCACTGTCTCCTGACCCTACACCTCCGTCGCACGTTTGGTCTCGCCGTCCCTCCCGTGCTCGTCCCGTCTCTCCTGTCCTGTGCTCCCACCCTATGTTGCTCCGTTCCCACTCGTCTCGTCCTCCCCTCCTCCCGTCACCTCCTCCCTCGTCCCTTGCTGTTTCTCCTCCTCCGTTCTCTGACTACCTCCGTGCCGCCCGTCCCCTTGTCCCTCGGGTTCTTGCCTCTCTTGTTACCGACCCTTCTGTTCCCGTCTCGCGCCTTGACGCGCTTGTCGCTGCTGTCGCTGACTTCGCCTCTACCCGCCGCCTTGACTACGCTACTGCTCTGGCCTCTGACCCTGCCCGTCCTCCGTCCGTCGGGGGTGCACCTGCCCTTGGCAGTGACGTTCTAGAGGACAGACAGTACGAGCTTGCTTTCCTTTCCGAGGCCGCTCCCCATCTCTGCTCCATGCTCCTAGTCCCTGAGGGTGACCCAGACGCCTTCGACATCCCGACCCCTCGCACCTACGCTGAGGCCACTTCGGGACCCTGGGCCTCTCAGTGGATAGCTGCCATGGAGCAGGAGATGGCATCTTGGAGGTCCACCGGCACTTACGTCGACGCAGTTCCCCCACCTGGGGTGAACGTAGTCGATGGTCGGTGGCTCTTCAAGGTGAAGCGCCCCCCAGGAGAGCCGCCTGTCTTCAAGGCGCGCTACGTGGCTAGAGGCTTCAGTCAGTGCGAGGGGGTGGACTTCTTCCAGACCTTCGCCCCGACCCCGAAGATGACCACTCTTCGGGCGCTGCTACACGTAGCAGCACAGCGCGACTACGAGCTTCACTCCCTCGACTTCTCTACTGCCTTTCTTCAGGGCAGCCTACACGAGCAGGTCTACCTGCGCCGACCACAGGGCTTCGCTGGTACCTTCCCCCCTGGGACCAGTGGCTTCTCAGGCGCCCGGTCTACGGCCTGCGCCAGGCTCCCGGCGAGTGGCACGACACGCTGCGTGCCACGCTAGCAGAGCTGCAGTTCTTTCCGTCGTCCTCTGATCCCTCGCTTTTTGTGCGGTCCGGCCAGACTCCGTTCTACATCCTTGTCTACGTAGACGACCTGGTCTTTGCTACTGCTGACAGGGACGCACTGGCCTCAGTGAAGGCCGAGCTGCTGAAGAGACACACCTGCACTGACCTTGGAGAGCTGCGTCGCTATCTTGGCCTGCAGATCTCTAGGGACAGAGCAGCACGCACCATCACTCTGACACAGTCACACTTGGTGCGTCAGGTCCTTTAGAGGTTCGGCCTTCAGTTCTCCTCTGCACAGCCCACACCTCTACCCGTAGAGCACGGGCTCTCCGCTTCCGTTCCTGAGGAGCCAGTAGAGCCCAGCGGCCCCTACGCAGAGCTGGTGGGTTGCCTCATGTACCTGATGACTTGCACTCGCCCAGATCTCGCATACCCTCTCATCATCCTGGCTCGCTTTGTGGTCACTGGCAGACACCGACCACAGCACTGGTCGGCCGCTAAGAGGGTTTTGCGATATCTAGCAAGTATATCCGGCATGGGGTTAGTGTTAGGAGGACGCAGGCCAGTGGTCCTCACTGGGCACACAGACGCGTCTTGGGCAGACGACTCTGAGACGCTCAGGTCGTCGCAGGGCTACTGTTTTAGTCTTGGTTCGAGTGCTATCTCTTGGAGATCCACTCGCTCGTCGTCTGTTGCTCAGTCCAGCTGTGAGGCTGAGATCTACGCTGGTGCCATGGCGGCACAGGAGCTCCGCTGGCTGACCTTCTTGCTCACTGACTTAGGTGAGCGGCCTAGCTCTGCCCCGGTCCTGTACGCTGACAACAGGGCCATGATCCTCCTGTGTCAGGAGCCTCGGCTTGAGGGCAGAGCGAAGCAAATTCAGCTGCGGTACTTTCTCCTGCGCGAGCTACAGCAGCGCCGCCAGGCCCGCGTAGTTCACTTGGCATCTGGTGCCAACACAGCTGATATCTTTACGAAGGCGCTTGCGCCTAAAGATCATCAGAGGCACTGTGTACAGCTGGGTCTAGTTCCTGTAGCCTCTCAGTTGCTAAGACCTTGACCTTGTACTATTCTATATATGTCTGCATATGTACTCAGACTGGACTTGTGTCCTCTCCCAGTGGCTGGACTAGTAGTGCGGTCCTGGTCTTGTTCTTGTCTTGTCTGTACTCCTTTTGACTGGTCTTTAGACCCTTGTCTCAGAGGCTGGACTAGTAGTGCCGCCCTGAGCTGCTTGTTCAGAACCTGCCCCTATGCAGTCTAGGGGGTGTGTCAAACATGTTTATCTACAATGTTTGTATAGACTGTATAGGGTCATCTCTTAGAGAGTACAACCCTTAGATATATGTCTTTGTACAATTCTTTCTAGTCAATTATTATTCAGTTTTCCTTTGAGAATTTTAACCAAGGACCAATCAACCCCCTCACACCTCCTCCAGCTCGCTTGGAACTTGTGTGATTCTGGTCAAGGACCAATCACGCCCCCCACACCTGTTGTAGCTCGCCTTGAAGTTCCGTGATTGTGGTCAAGGACCAATCACGCCCCTCACACCTGCTCTAGCTCGCCTCGAACTTGCATAATTTTTTGTCAAGGACCAATCACGCCCCTCACACCTGCCCCACCTCGCCTCGAACTTGCGTGATTCTGGTCAAGGACCAGCCATGCCCCTCATACGTGCTCTAGCTCGCCTTGGCAGATAAGATTCGGATTCAGGGCGAAATTCGAGTAAGGCTGATTCGTCAGGCTCGGTAAAACAAGAACATACTATTTTTTCAGGCCTTAGAAAATGGGAACACATAAATTTCAGGTTTGATAAAAATCAAAACCTGAAAAATCAGGGTATGCCCTAGAAAACACCCTGATATACAGGCTTTCAGGCCTTTTTGGCCTGACTTCTGAGGCCCTGCTCATGGGTTTGAAGTTGGTGGACTACGTTCTCCCCCTGACTCATCTCTTGAGAGGATGTTTCCTCATAAGAGCACATTTTCTGTAGCTTTCTGTTTCAACCCATTTTCTTTTCGCAGGATATTTGGCATGCCAGTGTCAACAAATATAATTATCTAGGCTAGCTGGTTTCTATTTGTTATAGCCTTAGATAGGTCAGTTCTTAGAGGGTACAGTCTTACCTTTCTCTCTCCCTCGCTGTTTTCCCGCAGTCCAGCCTTCTCTCGACAATCTAACATAGCATCTAGAGCCAGGTTTCGCCCTCTACTCACGCTTCCGCCCTAGCACACCCTAGCCTAGCGCGCCTCGCAGCTCGTCCCTTCCCCGCCCTCTCCTCTTCGTCGCGTAGCTCACGCCAGCCGCCGCTGGCCCGCGCCCGCCAGCGCCTTAGTTCGTAGCCGTCCCACCTCCCGCCACCCGTTCCTAGCCTGCGCAAGCTCGCGCCAGCCCGCCGCCTGCTCGCCTGCTCGCCAGCCCGCCAGCCCGCCAGCCCGCCAGCCCGCCTGCTCGCCAGCTCGCACGCTCGCCTGCTCGCCTGCCCGCCCGCCCGCCTGCTCCCCAGCCCGCCAGACCGCCTGCTCGCCGGCTCGCACGCTCGCCAGCTCGCACGCTCGCCTGCTCGCTTGCTCGCCCGCCCGCCCGCCCGCCTGCTCTCTTGCTCGCCTGCCCGCCAGCCCGCCTGCTCACCAGCCCGCCTGCTCGCCTGCTCGCCAGCCCGCCAGCCCACCTGCTCGACAGCTCGCACGCTCGCCTGCTCGCCAGCCCGCCTGCTCGCCAGCTCGCACGCTCGCCTGCTCGCCTGCTCGCCCGCCCGCCTGCTCGCTTGCTCGCCAACCCGCCAGCCCGCCTGCTCGCCCGCTTGCACGCTCGCCTGCTCGCCAGCCCGCCTGCTCGCCTGCTCGCCTGCTCGCCAGCCCGCCAGCCCGCCTGCTTGCCAGCGCGCCTACTCGCCAGCTCGCCTGCCCGCCTGCTTGCCCGCTCGACTGCTCACCAGCCCGCCTGCTCGCCTGCCTGCCAGCAGCGCAGCAGCCAGCGCCAGCAGCCAGCAGCCAGCTCACTGGCTCACCAGCGCCACCAGCGCCAGCAGCCAGCAGCCAGCACCAGCTAGCTCGCCAGCGCCAGCCAGCGCCAGCAGCCAGCAGCCAGCTTGCTGGCTCACCAGCGCCACTAGCGCCAGCAACCAGCAGCCAGCGCCAGCCGCCAGCCGCCAACAGCCAGCAGCCAGCGCCGGCTGCTGCCACCCACTGCCACTACCGCAGCTACTACTGCCCGCTGCTGCCCCGCTGCTGCCTACTGCCGCCCACTGTCGTTGCAGCCGCCACTACCGCAGCCACTGCTGCCGCCACTGCAGCCGCTGCCTCTGCAGCTGCCGCTGCTACTCCTATCGCCACTGCTGTTGCCCACCGTCAGCTTCGGCCTCCAGCAGCCGGCCACCAGCCGCCAGCACCAGTCACCAGCCGCCAGCAGCCGACCGCCGACCCTCAGCCGTCAGCCACCAGCTGCCACCACTCGCGAAAAGCCGCTGACCACCAGCCGCCAGCGGCAGTCGGCCGCCAGCCGCCAGTCGCCAGTCGGCCGCCTGCCCCGTGAGTCCCCCGTGCCCTGTGGACTGTCCTTCGTCCTGTGCCGCCAGTCCTAGTGCCTCCTAGCTAGCTCCTTGGCTTACTGCTCCTAGTAGATCCTCTCGCGCGTACTTCCTCCTCGTTTGCTCCCCACTCCTCCTAGCAGCTCCTAGCCTACCGCCAGCCTCCAGCTAGCCGCTACTGCCGTCTTACTGTCACTAGCCGCTGCTGCTACCAGCCTTGGGGTCGCTGCCACTCCTCTTGCCACAGTCACCACTGCTACTACCTCCGATTGTACTCCTCTAGCACCCAGTGCCTCCCACTAGTCTCCTCCTCATTTCTAGACTTCTTCGATGCCTCCCACTATTGGGCTAGGCACTATTTCTTCCACAAGAATGGTCGCCCCCTCACGCTCATCTATGAGGCATTTTCTCCACGCCTGGATGCAGTTCTAGGAGACAGCAGTGCACCCACGCTTCCACCTCAGCTGTGACTTGCTCACGTCACGTTTCCCGTTAGGCTTGCCAATTGGCCAGTTGTAGAATGACAATATCGTTACAGGCCGCACCGTTTCAGAGGCATGGGATTTTAGATGTTACACATTAGCGAAGATCATTGGACTATTGTGCGCTAAAGTGAACTCATCTTACCCATTTATCGTAATGCCAATAGTACATGTGACGGTGTTTTAGTGTCTCCCTCACAGGTTTTGAAATTCTCACCTGCGGGGAAATCTTGCTCCTAGAAGCTATATTCACGCTAGCCGCATAGCCTGCCTCGCCTGCTTCGTCTCGCCAGGCTGTGCCAGCATCTGCCCTTGCTGTGCATTGCCAAGCTCACGCAGCGCGAATCGTGGGTTAGTAGTGTCAGCTTCCATCACGCGGATTTTTGAGGCGCCTAAAAAGTCGCGGGTTAGAAGTGCCAGGTGTCATCACGTTGCTGGTGCGAGCCCGTTTTGTTCTCTATAGTCCTTTCTCCTTGAGTCGAGACTAAATATATGATGTCTTTTTTAGTCGACTCAAATGGCTTCCCATCCCCTTGCGCCGCTTCCGCGGTCATCAATCCGGCTCGGGTCGCCCATTCCGCTGAAGCCCCCACCCCTTCCCCCCCCTTCCCCCTCTTTCCCCTCCTTCTCCCCCCCCTCTCCCCTTCTTCTCCCCCTCCTCTTCCCCCCTCCTCCCCCCATCCCGGGCCCCCCACTTCCCCCCTTCCTTGCCCCCGTCATCTATCTCGTCTCGCCCCTCGCCGCCTCTCTCTCACATCGGAGTCCTCCCCCATCTTCCACTCTCTGCACCCATGCGCCCTTCAGACACACTCTCTGCACCCATGTGCCCCTCAGACACACTCTCTGCACCCATGTGCCCCTCAGACACACTCTCTGCACCCATGTGCCCCTCAGACACACTCTCTGCACCCATGTGCCCCTCAGACACACTCTCTGCACCCATGTGCCCCTCAGACACACTCTCTGCACCCATGTGCCCCTCAGACACACTCTCTGCACCCATGTGCCCCTCAGACACACTCTCTGCACCCATGTGCCCCTCAGACACACTCTCTGCACCCATGTGCCCCTCAGACACACTCTCTGCACCCATGTGCCCCTCAGACACACTCTCTGCACCCATGTGCCCCTCAGACACACTCTCTGCACCCATGTGCCCCTCAGACACACTCTCTGCACCCATGTGCCCCTCAGACACACTCTCTGCACCCATGTGCCCCTCAGACACACTCTCTGCACCCATGTGCCCCTCAGACACACTCTCTGCACCCATGTGCCCCTCAGACACACTCTCTGCACCCATGTGCCCCTCAGACACACTCTCTGCACCCATGCGCCCCTCAGACACACTTACCCAAGGAGTCTGGAGACTTTGCACAAGGGCGATGATTTTACCCTCATCCCCTCACCCCCTCACCCCCTCTCTCTGATCCTCTCTCTCCTCATCCCCTCTCTCCATCCCCTCTCTCCATATCCCTTTCTCCCATCCCCGTTACAGATGGCTCCGTTATGGCTAACTCCACAACTGTGCCTGATCAACCGTCCTCGCGCTCTCTCCCTCTACCGCAACCTCCTAAGAGAGATCAGCAAGCGACCCGGGGATATGAGCTGGGCGGCAGCGGAGAGCCGGAAGAAGGATCTGCGGATGCTGTTCGAGATGGGGAGGAGCGAAGCGTCCGTGGATAATGTGAGAGAGCTGTTTAGAACAGGGGAGCACGTGCTGGCACAGCTTAGAAGGGGGCACCTGCCAGAAGTGGCTTATGTGTAGCCTGGCGTATGTTCCGGACTTGGTCTTGGGGATCGAAGGAGTGAAGCATCAGTGGATAATGTGAGAGAGCTGTTCAAAGGGGAGCATGTGCTAGCACAGCTGGGAAGCAGGCATTCACTCCTGAAGTGGCTTACTACCGTAAACGCCCGGATAGAAGACCCCCATGGAATAGAAGATATAGTGTCTTGTATTAGGCGTTCGAGGGAGGTATGAGATAAGATACCCTACGTTGCTTTCAGTGTCGCATGTGTTAACACACTGTATTGTCCAAAAGGCTAACATCAGACCTCGATTACATACACACTAAAGGGTCTAGAAATCCTCAAAAGTGTCCATCGTCGAGAAATCACAGTCGTCCTCATCAACAACCTCTGCAGGGGCGGGCTTCCGGAAGTCAGGCACCCCCCAAGCATGCTGTGCAGTACTCTCAGGCTCATGCAGCTTGTCTGCCTCTGCTGCAGCACCGCGACACTTCTCTGTCTCAGGGTACGGGTCTGGCTCCACGGGGTTCTCCTCCTCCTCCGTCGCCTCATCCTCCTCCCCTTCCGCCTCCCTCTCCTCCCTCTCCTTCCTCCTCTCCTGCCCCGCCACAAAGCTGCTGTTGTCCCCAGTTGTGCCGCGCAGCGACATGTCTTCCGATACGTTGATCACTGGCTCTTCGCGCATGTGTTGAAGCACAAGGTAGTTGTCGGTGCCGTCCATGGAGCTAGAGATGCCGCACGTCTTGAACGCGCGGACGATGACGTCACGGGGGACATCCCTCCATGCCTCGTCGACCCATTTCAGCACGACCGCATGAGGTGGGCGTCGAAGGTTCCCTGTTGGATTTGGGGGCACAAAAGACAGGCATTCAAAGTGAATCCTGGTAAGAAAAAACCATGGGTATGACATACAGCTACAAAGATAAGTACAGGATAGCAAAATACCGTACCTCTCGGAGTCCTCAAATTTATGCCGTGTTTCGCGAACCACTTGGCGTACCGAGCGCGAACTCCCGCTTTGAAGCACCTGTTGACAGACACGTCAAGGGGCTGAATAAGGGGGGTACATCCAACTGGGATTATTGCAGGTACAATACTGTGTGTCCTATAGGCGGCCTTCATCCCGTCAGTGAGATGGCCCCTGTAGGAATCCAAGACCAGCATGCTGCGTCGGGCGGCTGATCCACACTTGGGGTTTAGGAACGGCAGCACTTCCTTCAAAAGCCACTTCTTTACAGCCTCCTCGTCCATCCAGCCGTTGACTTGCACTTGAACTTCGACGCCTGCCACGCACACACACACACAAGGGAACAAGGCAAGTGCAATTAAAAAACAGAGTCATGATTGCACGCATACATAGCCAAGCTTTGCGGTCCGACTGTGGTAGAGGACTGTGGTAAAAGGGGCATGCAAAATGGGGAAGGCCAACCTACCTGGAGGGCATTCGCACTTGGGTTTGGTTTTGCGCTTGAACCAAACCCACGGACGAAGCTTGTCCCCGTTCGCCGCGCAAGCCAGCATCACCTTCAGACGTTGCTTCTCGTATCCCGCACTCTTCACTGGAACGGAGCGCGATCCCTTGTGCTCCAAAGTCCTTTCCGCTGGCATCTCGACAAACAGCGGCGTCTGATCCACGTTGATGATGCGGCGCATGTCGATGTTGTGGCGGGCGCGGTTGATTCGGACGAATTTCCAGAACCCCTCACAATCCTGAGCGCACTCTGTTAATAGGGGAAGAGGGACAAGGGTGGGGGGAGGAGGAGGGGGAGGGGGAGGGAGAGGGGGATGAGAGATCAGACCTTGTTCAGCTAGCGGAACCGTTGATACCGCATGCACGGCAAGCAAGAGAAGGAGCGGGGATGGGTGATGAGTCCAGTAAGCAGAGACGATTAGCCAGCAAGGGAACGCAAGAAAACGCTCACCTGGAGAGAGCTTTTGGCCAACCTTAGTGCGGCAGCGCATGGTGAATCCCCAGCGCTTGCGAAACCGTTGGCTCCAGCGGCTGGACGCCTGCCAATGGCCCTGCGGCTGCTGCTTGCGCATGTAATTGAGGCTCCACTCACGGATCTGTTTCACGCCGACCGCCAAGCCGAGTCCCCGCTGGTCGCAGATCCATTTGTACAGCTTCTCCTCCATGACAGGGTGATGAGCATGCCGCCCCGCATTGTGGAGTCGCTTGCGACACTTGGCGGCACCCCTGTATCGCCCAAGCATCTGCTGGTCCACCCACCGCTTGATGGAACATGGGCCCACGCCCGCCTCCGCCGCAGTCCGCTTGAAGGACTTGAGCTCGTAATAGCGGCAGGCCCATTTCGTCTTCTCTTGCACGGTGAAGCTACGACGACACTTCTTCGAGAGTCGGTTTCGCGGAGACGGCGGCTGGGCATCAGGATTCTTCTCCTGCGGGTCTTTCGACTTCCTGCCTTCAGGGAAGGTGGGGAGCGGGCCGGCTGCCTCTTCATACTGGTCGTCAGAGTTATCTTTGGGGACCGCGTCTGGAGTAGATACGCCAGCCCGCTGTGTGGCCTTCCGGGGACCACGCGGTGACAAATTCTTTCGCTTTGTTGACTGTGGGATGTCGTCCACCTTAGATTTGCCCTTCTCCGCTGCTGTGTATCGCTGCCGCTTGGGAGAGACTTCGTCAGGTTCTGCACTCCGGTTCTTCTTTGTTGCAGTAGCACCGTTCTCGCTGCGCGGCAATCGCTGCTTCTTCACCTTGGAGTCAACCAGCCACTTCACACGGCGCTTCTCGATCGGAACGTTTTCGTCACTCATGCCGTCGCCGTGGCTCACGTCGTCGCCGTCGCCGTGGCTCCCGTCGTCACCGTCACCCATGTTGTTGCAAGCCGCCTCGCCGTCATCCCCGTCCTCCACCTCCTATGCTGCACCCTCCTCGCCTATGCCGCACTCCTCATTGTCGTCATCACGACCGTATTCCTCTGCGTAATCACCATCATGCTCTTCACCGCCTGCCATCTCGCCCGCTTGGTTATCATCTTCATCCTCCTCGCCAGCAACCATTCCTCAACCTCCTCCGCGGAACCGATGGGTTTCGCCCACCAGTCGTCGTCAGAGGCGTTGGCAGAGCCGCCGTCCTCAGCGTTGTCGTCCTCCCCCTCGCCCATTCCAGCCATCCCATAGTCAGGCGGCGGCAACGAGGGTTTCTTGGCAGGCAAGGCCGAGGTTTTCTTGGCAGCGGTGTCTGGGATATTCAGCGTATGGCCAGGGGAGTTGTGGCGCCCAAAAATGCTCACATAAATGCGGGGTGGTGAGGGATCAGTTCCGCGCTGCCTAAACCCTGACGCCTTGTCCTGAGGTGGATGCTTGCTGCGCATGGCGGCACGCGATGACACTAGCCGAGCTGAGGCAGGCTAGAAATCCGAGGCATGGGAGGAAGCGTCGCTAAGGCAGGGGAGGACGCTGAGCTAAGGCAGGGGAGGACGCTGAGCTAAGGCAGGGGAGCAGATTTTCGAAGGGTTGGCTGGCTGGCTGGTGTATGTGTAGGGTAGGGTTGCTGGCTGGTGTATGTGTAGCATTGACTTGTTTGGTAGGGCTAGGGCTGTTGAGAACGGGAAAGCATGTGCTGGCTGGCACAGCTGAGAAAAGGGCATTTTTTTAACCTGGAATGCATTTCCCCCCCCCCCCTGACCTGAGAGTATTCATCATGTAACCTGAGTTGATTCCTCAACGTGTTATGCGGGCCACTGTTGCAGAGCAGGTTTCACCAGGATGGTGATAATAAACTAGTAAAGAAGGGCCTTGATCCATAATCAGTCACCGTACTGTATATGTCCACCATGCGCAAAATAAACAGATGAACAAGATCTACAAAAAAAAAAGGGACAAATCAACTGCAAAACAGCTGTATCCACGAGTAGCTTTTGAGGCGCCTCAAAAGCAAATGGACCGCAAAACAGCTGTATCCGCGAGTAGTGGTTGAACAGAGCGGCTAGAGGCGGAGAATGGTTCGGATAGTGTCTGAGAGATTGTGGATGATGGCCTTTTCTTGCGTTACTTGCCACCCTTGTAGAGGCATCTCGTCCAAACACCTTAGGGAGTACAGGCACAAGGGGTTAGGAAAGGGAAGGGAAGGGAACGAGGAAAAAAATGGCAGAAAGCGGAGGGTAAGCAAGTGTGGAAGGAGAAAAAGAAGACGAAGGGTGGACGTGTTGGCACGTGAGCAGAGGAGCACTTGGGCACATAGGCAGGTGGGCACCAGTGCTGATCATTGGATTTTCGCTACTCTGAAATCTGGCAGTGATTTTTATCGGAACTCTGAAAATCAGAGTGACCTCTACGTTTTCCCTGAATGGTCAGAGTAACCCAGTATTTCTAAAAAAAAAACTCTGTCAAGTATGTTCTCTTGTAGACGCCTGCAAATGCATGGGTCATGTCACGTGTGTCTAATTGCCTAATTCATACTTGATCACATGCCATTTTGAGGGAGCTAGGGCCGGCATGGGCCGTGTGCAAGAAGGGTGCGGGGCACGAAGGGATTGATTGGTGGTGCATCACAATTGCGCAACTGGGGAGAAGTGGGGAATGGTTCGGAAACGAAATTGAAAGGCGCGGGGAGCGCCTATCAAGTTCGCACACGCTGGTTGGCGGGGGGCAACCAGTGCCATCCACAAAAAACCCCCTCTTCTCCACACCCCAGGCCCTCAGATTCGTTTTAGGCTGCACTGAATTTTCAGGGTCGGTACACAAAGGCACCCTGAAAACATCCTCAAAATCAGGGTTGGTACTGTTTTTTTAACTAAACCCCGGTTTTCCAGATTCCAACGCTGATTTTTCAGGGTCGGTACAGCAAAACACCCTGGAAATCAGCAAAATCAGGAAAAAAAAATCCTGAAATCTGAGGGCCACAAACCACTACGCAGGAGCACACATCTCGTGGAGTTTTCAGTGGACCAATCGGCGCCCTCATACAAACTGCGCCATACATCACATGGTGAATCTGGCTAAGGGCCAATTAGCGCCCTCACACGGCATCCAACAAACTTTGCGTTGTGAGGGCGCTTTTAGGCCGTTAGTCAGATTATACACATCGGACGGTGATTTCAGTTGAAGGGCCAAATTTTACCCTCACACACGCTCTAGCAGCATGCATCGAGAGCTGATTTTGGCTAAGGGCCAATCAGCGCCCTTATACAACAGCCCAACAAGCTTCGGTTTCAGTCCGTCATACTCGGCATGGATTCGGGTCCACGTATGTAGACAGGGGGGTTCAAGAAAAATCTGGAGGTATCCCCCCTGTACAGAAACCAACAGGGTGGTACAAAAGAAAACTCTGGCTAATCAGAGAAAATGTATTATCTCAAAAACTTTACCCAAAGGCATAAGGGTGGTACGTAAAATCATCTCTGAAAATCAGAGAATCAGAGTAATTTACTCGTGAAAAATAGGGACTGGTGGACACATATGCAGTTGGGCACATAGGCAGGTGGGCACATAGGCAGGTGGGCACATAGGCAGGTGGGCACATATGCAGGTGGGCACATAGGCAGGTGGGCACATAGGCAGGTGGGCACATAGGCAGGTGGGCACATAGGCAGGTGGGCACATAGGCAGGTGGGCACATAGGCAGGTGGGCACATAGGCAGGTGGGCACATAGGCAGGTGGGCACATATGCAGGTGGGCACATAGGCAGGAGGGCACATAGGCAGGTGGGCACATAGGCAGGTGGGCACATAGGCAGGTGGGCACATAGGCAGGTGGGCACATATGCAGGTGGGCACATATGCACATGGGCACATATGCACATGGGCACATAGGCACAGGGGCACATATGCAGGTCGGCACATGGACAAACCAGCACATGCGCACACGTGCACATGGGCTCATGAACCATGGCCCATGCCGAATGAACATGGCACATCATGATAGCACATTCATACATGAGCAAATTAGCACATTTACACAGGAGCACATTCACACATGATCACATGAGCACATTCACACATTCACACATTCACACATGAGCACATTCACACATGAGCACATAAGCACATTCACACATTCACACATGAGCACATGAGCACATGAGCACATTCACACATGAGCACATGAGCACATTCACACATGAGCAGATGACCCATAAACATGACGTCTGAAATAGCACACACCCCATGGCTCATGACCATGAGACAGCCAGAGCAGACCATGTAGGTAGACATAGTAAAAATGCGATGCGACTTATCGCGCATTATATCGCGGCGATGCGATAAGATATCGCATATCGCGTTTTGGGTGCGATATTTTCAAATATCGCACTGTAGAGTGCGATATATCGCGCGATGCGATAAGATATCGCATCGCCAGGGCTAAATTTCAGTCAAAGTAAACTACAGTAGCAATTTGGATAGGTAGCTAACTGGGAGGTACCTATGCTAGGGAAGCGGGAGTGGAGGTGTGGCTAGGTGGCTAAGGGAGTTCCAAGGGTTAGCATATTGTGTTTGCATGCTAGCTTGGGAATGGGAGTGAGTTGGTGGTGGGAAATGAGGTGGGAATGTGTTGGGGTGGGGTGGGGGTTCTCTCAAAGAGAATTTGTCGCAGCCCTTTTTGGGCTTCGTTTCCCCCACCCCCAAATCTGCCAATTTCGCGCGCGCGACTATGTTGCGCAAAACGCTCTGGCAGGCGAGCGTTTTGCGTTTAAACGGTGGCGTTTCAACGCAAAACGCTAAAACGCTAGAAAAACGCAAACGCTCAGGTTTTTTTATTTCGGGGCAGCCCGACGAAAAAAAACAAAAAAAAACACGAAAAAGTCGCGCGACAGTTCACAATGTGGCGAATCCAACCAGGAACATTGTGAAATCTAATGAAGGTTCAATGCCAACCAAACACCTAAAATTGCTTCAACCACTCTCCGCCCCATCTCATCTAGGAAACCCAACCACCACTCCTCACATACTTCTACTCACCAGAAACAGGTCGATCGTACAGATCTAGCGACCTAGGCGCTCCTCAGCGCTTCCTGCTGCACTGTTAGCACTACTTAATTGCTACGATATTGACCTAGACAGCAGTCTCTAGTCTAAGAGCCCTGCCCGACTTAGCGTTTTCCTGGCGTTTGCCCCCCGGCCCCGGCTCCTGAGCGATTAGCGTTTAAACGCTAGCGTTTAAAACGCTAACCGCGTTTTTTGCAACATAGGCGCGCGATACGCAGAAGTATCGCGCGCGATTTTTTAAAATCGCATATCGCATTTTATCGCGCAAAAAAAGCGCGATAAAAACGCGACATCGCAAATATCGCGCGATATTATCGCATCGCATCGCCGCGATATTCTTAAAATAAAAATAAAAATCGCTATCGCAAAATGCGATATAATGCGATGCGATGCGATTTAACCATGTCTACATGTAGGTTAAAACAAAGAGCATCACACGATTTTTAAAGATCTTCCAGATCCATTCATAAACAGATTTCACACAGACAACTTGTGAAGAGAATTACGTACTGTTTGTGATAGGCCAGAGCCCTGGCGAGATTTGGAAGAGTGGTGCTGTTGGCTAGTCTGCGGTACACACTGGGAGGGAGGGGAACCTGCAGTGCAAAGTTGAGTAGTGAGAGGGAACAGAGAATTGGAAGCATACGGTAGGGCACATTGGAAGAGTGGTGCTGTTGGCTAGTCTGTGATACACACTGGGGGGCAGGGGAACCTGTAGCGCCATGGGGTGTAGTGGGAGGGGGTAGGGGATTGGAAGCATGCGGTAAGGCACATTGGGAGATCGTGGTGATGTTGGCTAGTATGCGGTAGACATTAGGAGGGAGGGGAACCTGCAGTGCAATTGGGTATTGTGGAGATGGGGGGGATTGGAAGGGGCACGTCAGAAAGACTTAGTTGGCAAGACTGCGATACACACTGGGGGGCAGGGGAACCTGTAGGGCAATGGGGTGTGGTGGAGATGGTAGGGTGGGGGATTGGAAGCGGCACATTTGAAAAGTGGTGACGTCAGCTTTTCCATGATACACACACGTGATATAAGGAATCAGGTTGAGACGTCTCAGAACCAACCTGATACGCACACACCAGGGGCAAGGGGAATCCGAAAAGTGGAGGGTGTTTTCGAGATTTCTAAAAAACACCATACGTGCACACTGGGGGAAAGGGGAATCTGAAAAGTGGGGCGCCATAGGAGACAGGAGAATAGACGGATCAGACATTCGATGAGGATTCTCGGAAAAACTAGCACTGTACATGGTATCACTCTACTGCCCTCTCTCATGGTAACATGGATCACCTCCAGCCATACATCCTACTCCTTTCCCCCAAACCTCGGGGTTACCTCAGCAGCAGGGGTTCTCTCCTTGCCCCCTTGCGGCCTGCAAGCCCACCATTCCCCGACAGCTCCTAGCTCGCCTCCAGCGTCCAGAGCGCACTGGTCAAAGGGAGCCCGCACTACTATGTGCCTACTACCCATGCCAGGCAATCTTATGCTCCCACCAGCCATCTCACCTCAGTAGCAGGTGTCCGTCGAGCGCCTATGCTCCCCGCCAATCCACCACTCCCCGACAGCTCCTGAATCGCCTCCAGCCCGCACTGGTCAAAGGGAGCACCACCTTCCCATGTGCCTCTGCCTGGCACTACCAAATCCCAAGGCATTGTCCCTGCAAGCTCACCTCAGCAGCAGGTGTTCTCCTTGCGCCCTTGCGCCCGCCAGTCCACCACTCCCCGACAGCTCTTGAATGGCTTCCAGCCCACACCGGTCAAAGGGAGCCCCGTCCAGACCCGATGAACTCAACTCTAGGCCTAGGCTCCATGTTGGGTGGGCTCACCTCAGCAGCAGGGGTTCGTCTAGCGCCCTTACTCCCCGCCAATCCACCACTCCCTGAGAGCTCCTGAATCGCTTCCAGCCCACACTGGTCAAAGGGAGCCCCGTCGGGGCCCGATGATGCGATGAGAGCCAGGGGGGAGATGTCGCACGCTCGGAGGAAGGGGATGGGAACAGTGTTGCCGGCTGCGTACACCGCTGATAGCTGGAGAAAGAAGGCGGGGGGAAGGGGGGGAGGGGGGGAGGGGGGCGAGACATGAGGGTTGTGGGGATACGGGGGAGGAGGAGGGTCAAAGGAAGTACTGTCGGGGCATGATGAGGCGATGAGATGGGATCCAGAGGGGAGAGATGTCATGAGACGCTCAGAGGGGAGATGTCATGAGACGCTCAGAGGGGAGATGTCATGAGACGCTCAGAGGGGAGATGTCATGAGACGCTCAGAGGGGAGATGTCATGAGACGCTCAGAGGGGAGATGTCATGAGACGCTCAGAGGGGAGATGTCATGAGACGCTCAGAGGGGAGATGTCATGAGACGCTCAGAGGGGAGATGTCATGAGACGCTCAGAGGGGAGATGTCATGAGACGCTCAGAGGGGAGATGTCATGAGACGCTCAGAGGGGAGATGTCATGAGACGCTCAGAGGGGAGATGTCATGAGACGCTCAGAGGGGAGATGTCATGAGACGCTCAGAGGGGAGATGTCATGAGACGCTCAGAGGGGAGATGTCATGAGACGCTCAGAGGGGAGATGTCATGAGACGCTCAGAGGGGAGATGTCATGAGACGCTCAGAGGGGAGATGTCATGAGACGCTCAGAGGGGAGATGTCATGAGACGCTCAGAGGGGAGATGTCATGAGACGCTCAGAGGGGAGATGTCATGAGACGCTCAGAGGGGAGATGTCATGAGACGCTCAGAGGGGAGATGTCATGAGACGCTCAGAGGGGAGATGTCATGAGACGCTCAGAGGGGAGATGTCATGAGACGCTCAGAGGGGAGATGTCATGAGACGCTCAGAGGGGAGATGTCATGAGACGCTCAGAGGGGAGATGTCATGAGACGCTCAGAGGGGAGATGTCATGAGACGCTCAGAGGGGAGATGTCATGAGACGCTCAGAGGGGAGATGTCATGAGACGCTCAGAGGGGAGATGTCATGAGACGCTCAGAGGGGAGATGTCATGAGACGCTCAGAGGGGAGATGTCATGAGACGCTCAGAGGGGAGATGTCATGAGACGCTCAGAGGGGAGATGTCATGAGACGCTCAGAGGGGAGATGTCATGAGACGCTCAGAGGGGAGATGTCATGAGACGCTCAGAGGGGAGATGTCATGACACGCTCGAAGGAAGGAAGGGATGCTGATTGCTTGCAGTGACTGTTGCTCATACTGCCGATTGCTGGAAGATGAAGGGGTTTTGCAAGGGAGTCTATTTTTGAGGCGCCTCAAAATCGTGTACTGCTACTAATAGCCGGGAGATAAAGCGCTTTTGCAAGGGTGGGGACGGGGGGGAGGGAGGGGGGGATTTCTGAGTTTATCATTTCCTAAAAGAGAGATGACGATATGGGAAGAGGCGATCAGGGTGAGGTGGAAATGCCATGCGTGCAGAGGAAAGGGATAAGACCCGCGATTTTGGCAGTGAAAGCTGCTACCAGGTCTGAGCAGACCATACCCTGCAGGCCCGGACTGGCCCTCTGAGCGGGCCTGGCCCTATCAGCGACGGCCTGCCTTGTCCCATCCTCCATTGCCTGCCGTAGCCCAGCTAAGAAGTCCGTGCCCCTTCTACCTCCACTTCTTCTCACGCTATCCTACACACCACCACCACTACATACATGCACCGAACCTTATCTTGCGATCCAGGACTGGCCCTCGGAGCGGGCTTGGTGCTATCAGCGATGGCTTGTCTCGTCCCATCCTCCACTGCTTGCCGTGCCCCGGCAAAGAAGTCAGTACCCAGGCCCCCTACTACTCTCTCTAACAGGACCTGTACCTTATCCTGCAATCCCGGACTGGCTCGCTGAGCGGGCTTGGTGCTGTCAGCCATGGCCTGTCTCGTCCCATCCTCCATCGCCTGACGCGCCCCCGCGAAAAAGTCCGTGCCTTTCCGCCTCTTCGCCTCGAGCTCCATCCCCGCTACTGCAGCTTGCTTCGGGGGGATGGGGGGTCGCTCCGACTTGCGAGGAGGGGCAGACCTGAGAAAGGAAGAAGGAAGGGAGAGGAGGGAAGGGAAGGGAGGGAGGGGGGGATGAGGAGGGAGGGTAGGAAGAGGAGGGAGGTGGGGGGAGGGGGTAGAAGGGGGGTGTTTGCTGTGTTTCGGCAAAGAGATCTGTGGCCTTCATCCTCTTCGACTCTAGCTCCCTCCCCGCTCCGCTAGTGCTGCCTGCTTCGGGGGGGTGAAGGGGGGCCGTTGTGACCGGCTGGGCTGGCAGGAAAGTTGGTTTTTGAGTTGACTTAAAAGACACTTCGGGGGAAGGAATGGGGGCCGTTGTGACCGGCTAGGCTGGTGGGCAACTTACCTCAGAGGGAGCGGGACGAGAGGTAGAGAGGTGACTTTAGAGTCGACTCAAGAGCGGGGCAAGAGGGACAAGAGGGGCAAGAGGGAAGGAAGAGCACCGAAGCACGTGTAGGTTGTAGCATACTTGGCCTGAGAGCCCGGATACCAATTGGCAAAGTAGAAATAAATAGCCACAAACTTAGCCTGTGCCGGCTTAGCCTAAACTACTCAACCACGGGTTGTAGCATACTTGGCCTGAGAACCCTGATGATGCCAACTGGCAATGTAGAACAAAATAACGCCACAAACATACTTAGCCTGTGCCGGCTTCGCTCTGCGCTGCCCTACCAAAGCTGCCAGTACCGCCCCGATGTTATCTGCAGACGACTCTACCCCCTCCCTCTGGCTTGGGCTGCCTCCCTCTGGCTTGGGCTGCCTCCCTCTGGCTTGGGCTGCCTCTTGGATCTCCAAGAAAATTTTCTATGGGAATCCCTAATGCCACTTACCTGGCTTGTGCGGGCTTCGCTTTGCGCTGCCCTCCCATGGCTGCCAGTGCCGCCCCGATGTTATCTGCAGACGACTCTACCCCCTCTGCTGCTGACGTGGCAGCTGCTGACTTGGCGGACGGCTCGTCTGACCGGGCGACACGCATGGTGCCGGTGTCCATTGCCTCGTCAGCAGAGTCGGAATCCTTGTTGACAAACGTGCCGAAATCTGTGTTGGAATGGGGAGGTACGAGGGGGACGGGGTAGGGGAGGTTAGACGGGGAGAATTATCCGCATGGTGCCGGTGTCCATTGCCTCATCAGCAGAGTCGGATTCCTTGTTGACAAACGTGCTGAAATCTGTGAAAGGATGTGTAGGTTTGGGAGACAGGGAAGAGGAGGGGGGGGGGGTGGGGGGGGAGGGGCGGGGGTGTGCATGGTGCCGGTGCCCATTGCCTCGTCAGCAGCCTCAGAGTCCTTGCTCACAAACGCGCCGAAAGCTGTGTGCCAATGTGCTCAAGGCTGGAATGTGAGGCTTGGCTGGGTTGCGGGGGATTGGGGGCGAATGGGGGGGAATGGTGGGGTTGGGGGCTTGGGGGTTTTGGTTTGGGGGAATTGGGAAGCGCACTATACCGGTGTCCAATGTGCAAGTAGTTTCGTTTTGAGTCGACTCAAAACGAAATAATGCGGGTGTCCAATGCCTTGGCAGCAGATTCTGATTCCTTGTCCACCAACGTGTGGGGCTGGTGGGAAAGATGGGGCGAAAAGGGATGCCGAAGAAATCCTTATGTGATCTCACATAGTAATGATGTTCATAATACATGTTTTTAACTGCTCATAATGATGTTTATAACGCGTGAGCGCTAAGTCCACTGCTCATACATTTTAGCATGGTTGTTTGACGTTCAAAGCATACATGCATGTGTTGCCCACGAACCAGGGTGTATTCAAGACAGCACCCACCAGTGTCATCGTCGTCAGTATATGCAGATGGAGCAGAGCGGGCTTTAACTGTCCCTCCCATGGCGTCGCCCCTCTGCCGCATGGTGCCTGTGCCCATGGACTGATGGAAAACGGAGGGGGGGAGGGGTGGAGATACAAAGTGCGTGTATGGACTGGTGGGCAGTTCCCCCCTCCCATGGCGTCTCCCCTCTGCCGCATGGTGCCCGTGCCTGCGGACTGGAGGGGAAAGGGCAAGGGGTAGGAGCAAGGAGTAACAGCGGGAACAGGGAGGAGAACATACATCTCCGCCCCTCTCTCCCATGGCACCGCCCCTCTGCCGCATGGTGCTTGTGCCTACGGACTGGTGTGGGTGTGGGTGTGCGTGTGGGGGGGAGGGCGGGGATCAACTTAGCATCAGCGGCATCACTATTAACCCTCGGCTGCATGGTGGCTGTGCCCGTGGACTGGGGTGGGTGTGTGTGAGGGTGTGGGTGTGGGTGTGCATGTGGAGGGGGGGGGGACGGGGGCGTAATTCAATATGGCATCAGCGGCATCGCATTGCTATTAACCCTTGGCTGCATGGTGGCCGTGCCAGTGGACTGGTGTGGGTGTGTGTGAGGGTGGGGGAGGGGGGGGGGACAATATGGCATCAGCGGCATGAATATCAACCCTTTGCTGCATGGTGACTGTGCCTGTGGACTGGCGCATAAAGGGGTTGAGGGGGGTGCAGGGAAGGGGAAAGAGAAGAATATGAGCGACACCCCCTGCAGTGTCGTTGCATCGATCGATGAGCCACCCCCTGGCCTGTACCTGTTACTCCACACACGTAGCCCTATTTGTAACCCCCTATTCATAACACTCGCGTAACCCTATCGCTCCAGCCACTCACATCCTCAGACATGCTGAGGACACACCTCTGCTTCTTCGCCTCTTCTCGCATCGATTTTGCGTGACACGGCCAATGCGTGTCTTGAGGACCACTGCAACGTGCACGCTTCGATCGATGATTGTCTGATCGAAGCGTGCACCCTACATGCGGGCTATGGCCTGATTGATCATGATGAAAGGCCGCACACCCTGTATCTATGCGCGCCCAGAGGTGGCGAGGACCAAGCCCACAGCCATCAAGGTCATCCTGCCCAACCAGCCTGGATACTTCAAGCCACTGAGCAAGAATCACCCAGGCACCATCGGTAAGGAGATTGTGGCAGTGACCTGAGAAGGCTGAGGTAATGCTTGAGGATAGACATCTCAGATCACTGCCACAGATCTCCTTCCAGATGGTGCCTGTGTAATTCTTGCTCAGCGGCTTGAAACATCCAGGAAGGTAGACGCGATGACCTTGATGGCTGCAGGCTTGCCCTCCACACCTCTAGGCCCGTACAGGTGCAGGATGCACGTCCTATCAACAAGGTCAATCATACCACTGTCTGTTGTAAAATATATATCTATACAACATGCATGCCTAGATTAGGAGGTGTAGTCATTATAAATATTGGGGGGTTGTTGGTTGGGTTGACCAACCCCACATTTGGGTTGGTCAAGATTGGATTTGGTCCTAGACATTTGGTTGGCACTATTCCAACCAAATGGTCCTTGGTCCTAGGAACCAACCAATCACCAAGCACCACACTTTGTGGTTGCTTGCCTTCCAAGCAATCTCTCTCATTGGTCCACATTGTGGCCAATCAGAGAGCACCACACTTTGTGGTTGCTTGCCCTACAAGCAACCTCTCCCATTGGTCCACTTTATGGCCAATAGGAGAGCTTCCCTTCCAACTCTTCCTTGCTCCTTGTTTTGTACAAAAGAGCCTCTTGGCTCCCTACTCAATCAATCTTTTCTCTTCCAAGCTATTTCCTTCACTGTCCGCACTCCGAAACGCTGTTCTGCTCTTCCAAAGCCGTAACCGGTATCGCAGTTTCTTCGCCTCCCCCCTCATAGATTCGCCTGGTCGATGCTCGTTTTCAGCACCACCGCCATGGTCTCTCACCACTCGATGCTACCCCCTGGGCAAGTAACTCCGATAGAGCATCACTTAGGCGCCATGACTTTACGTGGCAGCGACTTGAAATGCTTAGAGTAGCAAACAACTTGCTTGCTTGTAAAAAATCCTTCACATAAAAAAGTGGTGGTAACCGGTTTCGGCTCAAGGCCTTCTTCAGCACCACCGCCATGGTCTCGCAGCACTCGATGCTAACCCCTGTGCAAGTAACTCCACAGCACCACCAAGACACTCACATCCTCTGACACTCACATCCTCTGACACTCACATCCTCTGACACTCACATCCTCTGACACTCACATCCTCTGACACTCACATCCTCTGACACTCACATCCTCTGACACTCACATCCTCTGACACTCACATCCTCGGACACTCACATCCTCGGACACGCTGTTCTGCTCTTCCAAAGCTGCAGCCGCTAACCGCTGCTTCTTGGCCTCCTCCCTCATCGACTTGGCCTGGTCAATGCGCTTCTTCAGCACCACCGCTGTGTCCTTGCACCGCTCGATGAACTTGTGGTGCAGCAGCGCGGGGGTGGTGGGGCGCTGCTTCGGCTCCTTGATCAAACACTTGGCCACGAAATCGTGGAAGAGAAGGGACCTGGGAGGGAGGGAGGAGGGGAGGGAGGGTGGAATACAGGTGGGTGATGGGGATGGGCTGCTTGGGCTCCTTGATCCAACACTTGGCCACGAAATCGTGGAAGAGAAGGGACCTGGGAGGAGGGGTCATGAAGGGTATGGTATGGTATGGTATGGTATGGTTGGAGGGAGGCAGGGAGAAGGAGGGAGATGCTAAAGGCAACAGCTGCTTGGGCTCCTTGATCAAGCACTTGGCCACGAAATGGTGGAAGAGCAGTGGCCTGATAAGGTGTTGGGGGGGGGGGAAGTTTTAGCAATTTCAGCTCACAACGTTCCTCTAGGATTCAGTATGACATTGGTTGCACAACGCAATATGATTCTAACTAATGCAAGGGATAGTTAGAAAGGGGTTTAAAACGAAATCATGTCCGGTTGGGAGGGGAGAGAGAGTTACCATTTCTCAGGGTCCTCTAATGTGGGGGAGGGCTCTCTTGAAATCATAAAGAGCACCTGAGAAAGGTGAAGAGGGGTGGAGAAAGGGAAAATGTGGAGGAGGTGGGAAAATAAGATGAGTAGAGAGGATTCCCAGAAGGGATAGGTAGGGATAGGCACTCCAACGGATGTGGATGGCAGAGAGTGGATGAATGAAAGAGCGACTGTCACAAGAGAGCAAGGTAAAAAAAAAACGGCGTATCAAACTTTTTTTTTACCTTATAAAACGGGATCGTATAAAACGGCCGTTTCATATGACTAAAACGGTCAAAGGTGGTGTTTTGTGACTGGTGCAAAAAAACGGTCGTTTTATACGGTCGAGTTCTCGTACCGTCGTTAAAAACGGTGGTTCGCTTTATATCAAGGATGGTGAGGAGTGTGAGGAGGACTAGGAGAAGGAGGAGGGCGACTAGGGCGCGGAAGGGGAGGACTAGGGTGAGGAGAAGGAGGACTATTAGGAGGAGGAGCAGAGCCGGAGTAGGAGGAGGACTAGGAGGAGGAAAAATAGGAGGGTGAAGGGAGGACTAGCCACTAGACCGAGAAGGACAATGAAGGGAGGCCTCGGAGGACGTGGATGGTGTTTTATATGCATGTAGGATGTCGCCGCTGCCAGGACCTCTGTTTTCCCGCGGTTTTTTAAGTTTAGGGTAAAAAAAAAAAAAAAAAAAAACCAGGAAAAAATTCTAACAGAAAAACGGCAGAATTTGCATAAATCTGCCGTATAAAACGACCGTAAAAAACGGACTGTACGGAAACTGTTTTTTTGCACCTTGCAAGAGAGGACTCAATCTCATGGGATGGATGTTGGATCGCGGCTTTTGAGAATTCTCGAGAACCAACTCAGAGAGCAACTGTGACCCTCATGGATGAGGATGAAAGCACAACTGCGCGACTGTGGCAAGGTAGGACTCACTCTCATGGGATGGATGTTGGATCTCGGAGGTAGGCCCTGCACACGAGGTGGTCATGGTGTGATGGCGTGACAGAATGGGGAGGGATGGCATGGGGAACATGGCATGGCATCGAGAACGTGATTGAGTGCTAGCATTGCATGCGTACGGTATGGTTTGGAGGTGTATAGAGGAGTGCTTGCGCACAAATTACCACCGCAACGTGCTGTAACAAAGGTGCGATTACAACAACAACGACAACAATGGCAACGGCAACGGCAGCAACAGGAACAGCAACAGCAGCAGCAGCAGCAGCAGCGGCTGCGGTGGCGGCGGTGGCGGCGGCGGCAGCAGCAGCAACAACAACAACAGGAAAAAGACGAGGAGAGTGGGCCTTGACGTTTGACGCGAGTGTGACCATGATGAGCACCTGCACGTGTCGGCTGCTCACCTGCAATACCACTGGAAAAGCCCACCTCGGCCATCTCAATAGCAGTGATGCCCAGCGCCCACACGTCCACCTTGCCATCGTAAAGACTCTCCTGGATCACCTCCGGTGCCATCCAGTGGGGCGTGCCAATGAACTGAGGTGAAGGTGAGGGGAGGGAAAGGGGTGGGGGTGAAGTGAAGGGGGGGGACAGTAGTGTGCTCACATAAACTTCAACACGCGCCCTCACGTCCACAGTGTCATTACATATACTCTCATAGATCACCTCTGGTGCCATCCAGTGGGGCGTGCCGATGAACTGAGGGAAAGGGGGGGGTTCGAGCATAGAGGGCGTAAACAGGCAAGTGCCGGTTGCTGGTAGGTGCCTCAAAACAGGCCCACACGCACGTCCACCGTGCCGTCATACATGTTAGAATATTCCCCTATTCTATATTAGCCTACATCGTTTATAAGGCTTAGGTCAGTGTAAGCAACCTATCTCTACTAGGGTGTAGTAACCCTAGGTTGGGGGTTGGCTTCCCACCTTGTTTGGGTTCCAAACCTTGGCCATTATTGCCCCCCCCCCCCCCCAATGGGCTTGACCTCCCAATTATTGGAGACCCCAATAATCCTACCAAGATTATTGGACCCTCCAATAATCTTGGCTGGGATTATTGGACCCCCCAATAATTCCCAACTCCATTATTGGTGGGGACCAATAATCTTGGCCAAGGTCCCAACCAACCCCCCCCCCTTTCTTACCCTCACACCTATGTATACCCTCATTTCTTCAATAACATCATCAACTTCTCTTCTCACAATACACACTCTCCTGGATCACTTCCGGCGTGCTATCCAATGGGGTGTGCCGATGAACTGAGGGAAGGGGGGACGGGTTGTGGGAGAGGGGAAGGGGTTGGGGGGGGGGGGGGGAGGGGGGGGTGTGCCATCACCCACACTCCCCTGAATCACCTCTGGAGCCATCCAGCAGTGCGTGCTGATGATGCAGAGTGTTTTTGAGAAGCACCCTGTTGAAAAGGAGGAGCAGGAAAGATAAGAGCAATTCTCAAAACCCCTGCTGAATTACCTCTGGAGCCATCCAGTAGTGAGAGCTGATGAAACGAGGGAAGGGGGTACGAGCGCAGGGGGGGTAAACAGGTGTAGCGCTTGCACATGGTGCATGTGAGCTGTGCTGTGCCGCCACCCCGGAATCGCCGAGCTTGATCTCCTCTCAGTGGCTGTCAGTGGCTGTTAGTGGCTGTCAGTGGCTGTTAGTGGCTGTTAGTGGCTGTTAGTGCCTGTTAGTGGCTGTTAGTGGCTGTTAGTGGCTGTTAGTGGCTGTTAGTGGCTGTTAGTGGCTGTTAGTGGCTGTTAGTGGCTATTAGTGGCTGTTAGTGCCTGTTAGTGCCTGTTAGTGCCTGTTAGTGGCTGTTAGTGGCTGCTAGTGGCTGTTAGTGGCTATTAGTGGCTGTTAGTGCCTGTTAGTGCCTGTTAGTGGCTGCTAGTGGCTGTTAGTGGCTGTTAGTGGCTGTTAGTGGCTGTTAGTGCCTGTTAGTGCCTGTTAGTGCCTGTTAGTGCCTGTTAGTGGCTGTTAGTGCCTGTTAGTGCCTGTTAGTGGCTGTTAGTGGCTGCTAGTGGCTGTTAGTGGCTGTCAGTGGCTGTCAGTGGCTGTTAGTGCCTGTTAGTGGCTGTTAGTGGCTGTTAGAAGTGACTTTTGAGTCGAATCAAAAGTCACCTCACCAAGCTTGATCTCCTCTCAATGGCTGTTAGACGAATGTGTTGCCCTTTATAAAGGCAACCCATCCCTCCCCCCCCCCCCATGTTGCACTTGTCTAAGACACCCCACCCACCCCTCGCCTCACTGTGTTGCGTTTGGACATGCTGTGCCGCCACAAGGTGCCAGCTCACACCCCAACCCCCACCCCCCACCCCTCACACACCCCACCCCCCACATTCCCCTCCCCTCACTGTGTTTCTCTTGGACATGGTGCGAGTGAGCTGGGCCGCCACACTATAACACAACTTCGGTTCCAAAACCACCCCACCACTCCCCACCCCCACACCCCACCCCTCATCCCCCTCCCCTTACTGTGTTTCTCTTCGACATGGTGCGCGTAAGCTGGGCCGCCACACCGAAGTCCCCCAGCTTGATCTCCCCCGAGTCGCTGAGCAGGATGTTGCCGCCCTTGATGTCGCGGTGCACCTTGCCTATCTCGTGCAGGTAGGCCAGGCCCTGAGGGGTCGGGCCGGGGGTAAAGGTTGAGGGTTGGGCGAGGGAAACTTTGTGACTTTTGAGTCGACTCAAAAGTCACCTCGGGGGTAAAGGTTGAGGGTTGGGCAAGGGAAACTTTGTGACTTTTGAGTCGACTCAAAAGTCACCTCGGGGGTAAAGGTTGAGGGTTGGGCAAGGGAAAGAGAGATGAAGCAAGAGCAGCGAGTGTTGCTAGATTCGCGAAGGAGGATGTTGCCGCCCTTGATGTCGCGGTGCACCTTGCCTATCTCGTGCAGGTAGGCCAGGCCCTGAGGGGTCGGGTCGGGCCGGGGGTAAAGGTTGAGGGTTGGGCGAGGGAAACTTTGTGACTTTTGAGTCGACTCAAAAGTCACCTCGGGGGTAAAGGTTGAGGGTTGGGCAAGGGAAACTTTGTGACTTTTGAGTCGACTCAAAAGTCACCTCGGGGGTAAAGGTTGAGGGTTGGGCAAGGGAAAGAGAGATGAAGCAAGAGCAGCGAGTGTTGCTAGATTCGCGAAGGAGGATGTTGCCGCCCTTGATGTCGCGGTGCACCTTGCCTATCTCGTGCAGGTAGGCCAGGCCCTGAGGGGTCGGGTCGGGCCGGGGGTAAAGGTTGAGGGTTGGGCGAGGGAAACTTTGTGACTTTTGAGTCGACTCAAAAGTCACCTCGGGGGTAAAGGTTGAGGGTTGGGCAAGGGAAACTTTGTGACTTTTGAGTCGACTCAAAAGTCACCTCGGGGGTAAAGGTTGAGGGTTGGGCAAGGGAAAGAGAGATGAAGCAAGAGCAGCGAGTGTTGCTAGATTCGCGAAGGAGGATGTTGCCGCCCTTGATGTCGCGGTGCACCTTGCCTATCTCGTGCAGGTAGGCCAGGCCCTGAGGGGTCGGGGGGAATGAGGGAGGAGGGTCCTATATGAGGGGAGGAGGGGAGGGTTGCGCAAACAAGGTGCGCTGCCATCTCCACTGCTGCCGCACTTGATGTTGCAAGGGAGGGATAACGAGGGGAAGCAGAGGAGCGATAACGAGGGGAAGCAAGGGAGGATGCGATCACATTCCCTGGCTGCTGCGATGCACTTTTTACATGGTGGCAAGCGGGAAAATAACACTGGCAACGTGTGAGTAAATAAACCCTCTGCACCCTCTGGCGAGACACCATTATCTCCATCGTCTTTTTTAATGAACCCTCTGCTTCTTTACGAGTTATTTCTTCCATGCCTAGTGTGGAAAGATTGGTCAGACACATAACCTACATATATATTTAGATATGTGTATACATATGTATATATATGCACACACACATATATACATAAACAATGTAAGCCCTGATTGAGTCTCACCCACCTTGATGGACTCCCGGCACACGTATGCGATCATCCCTTCCTCTAACGGCGAGTCCGTGTTGTTCATCAGATCGGCCACACTGCCCCCACCGCAGTACTCCATCACAATCTGCCGGAAGAGGTGGGCAGTGGAGGAAGCAGTGGGAAAAGTTGCAATGGGGGGGAGGAAGGGACTAAAGGTGGGGGTAACGAGGATAGAGGCGAGTCCGTGTTGTTCATAAGATCGGCCACACTGCCCCCGCCGCAGCACTGCATCACAATCTGTTGGAGATGGTTGGGGTGGGGGCGATGGTGAGGCAAGGCAGGAGGGGAGGGACTGGTCACTGGAGCACAACCAAACCAAGTGGATTCGTGTCAACGAAATTATCGAGTAGTACATTGTGTGTGCTAGCTCGCTCCTTGTTCTTATTTAAATTTCGGATCCAACTTTCGGATCCAACTTTCGGATCCAACTTTCGGATCTACAACGAACTTTACGCGAAAACACAATTCACAAAATCAACCAGGAAACGCGTATGCAAAGTGACGGATCCTGAAGATTACAATTGTAACGACGTTATTTTTGTGTCAACTCAGAAGTCACCTCGTTGGAAAAACGTAAGCCAAGTTGCAAAGTGACGGATCCTAAAGATATCACAATCACACTCAATGTCAACCTACTCACCCAGAGGAAGTCGTCCCCCTGGTAGCTGCCGTAATATCGCACAACATTGGGGTGGTTGCACAGCTGCAGCATCTCGCATTGATGCTAGGCTTGAGCATGAACCCGACCCGACCCGACCCGACCCGACTTTGCCCTACCCGATGTCGGGTTCGGGTCGGGTCGGGTCGGGTCAAGTCGGGTCGGAGCTCAGGAAATGTCAACCCGACCCGGGTTTAATAGGTCGGGTACTACCTGACCCGATTTCGGGTCGGGTCGGGTCGGGTTGGCATAGGGGCAGGGACGGGTAATTAGCCGACCCGACGGGTCGGTTTTTGTAGGTCGGGTCGGGTACCCGAGGGTCGGGTCGACCCTCCGCAAATGTTGACCCGACCCGTCAAAAAGTCGGGTTCGGGTCAGGTTACCCGACCCGACCCGACCCGTTGCTCAAGCCTAATTGATGCCCCTCGCAAGCCACAACTCGGCACAACTCTATGCATTCACATTTGCTTCACATTTGCTTACTCGCCCACAGAAATTCGCCACCCGAATTCTGCAACATCCAGTGCAGGTGCTTCAATGACATCATATCGAATAGAAGCTACTCACCCAGAGAAAGTCGTCCCCCTGGTAGCTGCCGTAGTATCGCACGACATTGGGGTGGTTGCACTGCTGCAGCATCTCTATCTCGCCCCGTATCTCCTCAAAGCCCTCCTCCTGAGATGGGGGAAGACGGGGGAGGGGGGAGAGGAGACGGGGATAGGAGCAGGAAAGGTGGAGGGAGGGGTATGGATTGCGTGGTTGCACTGCTGCAGCATCTCTATCTCGCCCCGTATCTCCTCAAAGCCCTCTTCCTGGTGGGGAGAGACAGAGACAGGAGCAGGAAAGGCGCAGGGAAGACGCAGCAGGGAGAGAAAGGAAGCGTGGAGGGGAGCAGAAAAAACGAGAGGAAGAGGTGATGCTCAAGAGGCGCGTTGCTAGGGCATCTCTCCATCTCTCCTCTCCTCAGAGCCTTAGCATGTCTCCATCTCTACTTCTAGACAAGACAAGCCCAGCAAGGCAGAGTGTGAAAGAAGCGAGGCAGTGGAGAAGTAGCATAGGGGGAGGTGACAGCGACAAGGAAAGAACAAGGAGACGGGAGGTCAAGAGAGGAGAAGTGTAGTTTTGAGACGTCTCAAAACGACAAGCACAGCAAGGCAGTGTGCGAAAGAGGAGAGGCAATGGGGCAGAAGCATAGGGATAGGGGGAGGTGATAGGGACAAGGGCACAGAGGAGAGGGGACAAGGAGGCAGGAGGTTAAGAGAGGAGAGGGAGAGGGGAGGGGACGAGAGAAAGAGGCGCAGAGTGTGTGGGAAGAACACAGGTTGGGAAGTGAGTGGACGTTTTGCGTGCAGAGATGGCATTTCTTATCACATCACATGCACGAATCAAAGCAGCCACTCTCGTGGAAATGAATGAGGGCTATATTGTGTGTTGAAAGCTCTCCACAGCAAGACCAATCAGCTAGAGCACGTTTTGTCAGTGTTAAGGGCAGCAGTTCGCTGCTTTCGAGTCAGCTCAAAAGCAGTGTCAAGGGAGGCACTTCGATGCTTTCCAACTTTTGCTTGAATCACCCTTCGTGTCAAGGCAGCCATCCTACACCTGGTAAGGATTTAACTTCCACTTACCCCTTCAGCCAAAGAGATGACTTTAATCGCCACTAGCTCCGAGCTGATCCGATCCCTCCCTTTGTACACTGAGCCGTATGAGCCCTTGCCTGCCAGGAAAGGGGAAGGAAAAGGACAGAGAAGGGGCATTAGGGTTTGATGCATTTCCGAATCGTGTATGCTCCCTTTGTACACCGACCCGCAGGAGCCCTTGCCTGAAGGGAGGGGGACAGCAACGGATTAGGTAGGGACAGACAGAGGGACGGAACGTGCCGGTCAACGACTGTAGGGTTGGAGTCCTAGTAAAGGATATCCACCGCAACATGCTAGCCCCCAAACGCCGCCCTTCTGGGCTTTGGGAGCCACGCCCTTCCAATAGCTCTTCCAACAGCTCGAATTTGAGCGTGGGGTAATCCCTTGACACGTGGATACTCGAGCCTGCAAGCACCCCCCCCCTCGCCGCCCTTCTTGGCCTTGGGCGCCACGTCCTTGTGCTCCGCCATGCTCCTCGCCGCTGCAGACAGCAGCTAGTGCCATACCCTGTGATGGGTGTCGTGCTGTGCCATGCCGTGTGATGGGGTGTTGTGCTGTGCCATGCCGTGTGATGGGGTGTCGTGCTGTGCCATGCCGTGTGCTACTGTTGGATGCCACGAGGCACCGTGACGCCCAAAGATACGTACCTAGCTCCTCCAGCAGCTCGTATTTGAGCGTGGGGTCTTCCCTTGACACGTGGATACTGGACCCCGCCACCCCCCCCCCGCCGCCCTTCTTGGCCTTGGGCGCCACGTCCTTGTGCTCCGCCATGCTCCTCGCCGCCGCTGCCAGCGACCCCGTCCCGTCCTTCTCCTCCCTCTTCTTCCTCCCCCCTCCGCCCTTGCTCTTGCCAGACACCACCATGGTACCGAATTGGTCATCATCATCATCGTCCTCCTCCTCCTCTTCGTCGTCGTCGTCATCATCATCGTTTCGGCCTCGCCGTTTGGAAACCACCATGGTTCCAAACTCCCCTTCCTCTTCCTCCTCCTCCTCTTCCTCCTCTTTCTGCCGACGCCCCTTTTTCCGGGCCGATTTGCTCACGACCACGGTGCCGAAATCCCCCTCACTCTCTTCCTCCTCCTCCTCCTCCTCCTCCTCCTCCTCCCTCCTCTTCCCCTGTCGCCCCCCCTTCGTTTTACTCACAACCATCGTTCCAAAATCCCCATCCTCATCACTCTCCTCCTCCTCCTCTTCCTCCTCTCTCCTCCTCCCTCCTCTCCCTCCCCCTCCTCCCCTTCTTCCCCCCCTTTCCCTCCCCATTTGCGCTCTCATACTAGCAGCAGCCGCTGCTAGCCCTCCCCCTTCCTCCTCGCTCCCCCCTCTTCCCCCTTTCCCCCCGCCTCCTCCCCCGCCTCCTCCCCCGCTCTTCCTACTAACCACCATCGTTCCAAAATCTCCTTCCTCGCTCTCCTCCCCTTCGTCCTCCTCCTCTCTTCCCCCCTTCCGCCTTCCCGCCCCTCTGCTCACCACCATTGTCCCAAAATCCCCGTTATTGTCCCCCTCGTCTTCGTCTTCCTCCTCCTCCTCGTCCCGTCTCCCGCCTCTCCCGCTGTTTCCTCGATTCACCACCATGGTTCCGAAATCCCCTCCTCCTGAACCGTCCGATTCCACCCCGCTCCCGTCATCGTCGCCTCCTCGCATGCCACGTGGCCGCATCACCATCGTCCCGAAATCCCCTCCCCCTTCCTCGTCACTATCCCCGTTATAGCTTCCCCCTTTATTATCACCTCCCCCACGCCAGCCGCCGCCGCCGCCGCCGCCGGCGCTTCCGCCGTCTCGTCTGCTTCCGGGTTTCATCACCATGGTTCCGAAATCCCCGCCGCCATCACCGTCCGATTCTTCATCGGACGGCTCCTGTGGCGGCCTGCGGCTGCCGGGCTTCATGACCATCGTGCCGAAATCCACATCCGAGTCATCTGAACCGTCCATCTTCGAATACGATCGACGGCTATCGAGGGGCTACACGGTACGGAAGTATCGCCAGCACAGAACAATCTGATCGTCTTGGTGATCTTTGAGGCGCCTCAAGAATGTATTGGTGATCAGGAGTCAAGGACCTAATCCACTTAGAGACTAATATTCAGTGAGAGTTCCATACACGTGGGAGGATAAACGCAAGGGAGGAAACCCTAGCGCATAATCCGGCAAAACTCCTCGCTGGAAGTGCGTAGCGCAGCTTTTAAATTCAAGGACAACGAAAATAGGGCCTTGTTCGGCAGGCCCTCACTCTGACTAGGTCTAACACGTTCCCGCGAACAGAAGCCGATTGGCTAGCGGCAAGCACGGGAGTGGGCCGAACTACTTGGGACGCGACGACATTGCGTCCGGTTCGCAGGACCACAATCGATCCTTGAAAAATACCGTGTTTTAACACGCTGAAAAGTTTTATACCGCATCAAAACCTCTCGAAACCCATCAAAACGAGCCTGTCCATGATCGATTTTGGCAAAACGGACGCAATGTACCACGTCCTGGTGCTGGCACTATCGAGGCAAGGCTGCGGGATGGGATTCGGTTCTCCGTGGTGATCGAAATTGCTTCAATAAAAACCTTCGTCGTATCGGTGGGTCCATAGGATAGAAGGAACAAGTACACTAAGCAACAAATTGCTACCTAAATGCATCACAATTTTGATTTTTTAGACAATGGACGTCTTCTTCTTACACGCAATATTGCTTGTCATCCGCGGTTCCTAATCCACTCCTTCTCCCCGTAACAAATCGTGGTATCGTTACAGCTTGCCACTCGAAGCCCGTGGCGCAGCCTTTGAATATCCATGGAAAATGTCGAGGCAACCGACCCCCAGAAGACGTGTGACTGCGCACAAATCAGCTTCTCAAGCGCAACCGGGATAAGCTCCGTTCGGCCGAGGGTCAGGTGTTGGATGGGACGCATCCACTTCTCTTTGCTCTTCTCGCGAACGGATGGTAACCGCACAATGTTCAACTTGTAGTCCGACATTTGATTCAACAACACTGTTAGCTCCTCCAACTGAAAATCGAACGAGGGGCAGAATGGACGGGACAAATACAGGAGAAAGGGATGCCGACAAGTATTTCACCACATGGTTGTGGCTTTAAAGTGAAGCATCGTCAGCAGCATGATGTGTGTGAATTTTGGAAAGGAATACTTTAGAGTGAGGTGTTTCCTTGCTTCCCACACGAATACCATCAAAAAACCTTCCCATATGACCCATACATCACCTCCCATGCGCACCTCGGCATGCTTGGCGTTGGTGGCAAGAAACAGGTTGTTGATGGCCAACTCCCGTGTCTTGCGATACACCCAGTAGGCCACCTGCACAGAGGTGCAAGAGACCCGACACATGGTACACAACATGGCACATTTGAGGCGCCTCAAAACCCGTGTCTTGCGATACACCCTATAAGCCACCTACACAGAGGCACAAGAGACATGGACAATTGGTACACAACATGCATATGTGTTGCATGACATGTGATGCATGACACAAGGAAAAAATGCACAAATAATACACGAACATGGCGCATGATACGTTGCACATGATACATGAAGCAAGGAACATGTGGATGCCAGACTCGTCTTTTTTTTGCAATGTGCCAGACAAGCCTCTCAAGCATACCACAGGTCAACTGCTTAAGAAAAAAAAAACCAGTTTGCACACTATATTGACTGATAACGATCGAAAAATCCATTGGAGTAGAGTAGCAGTGTTGGGTGCTAGCAGAACCCAAAAAAGGGGACCCTCCTGTGCTAGCAAGAGCAGCAATATCACCATTGCTGCTCTTGCTTGTTTATGTTGGTTGATAGTAAAGGGGACCCTCCTGTGCTAAGTACTTCTCTGTGTGCATCAACAACGGCCTTTTGAGCGAAACCAGCTTGCACGTATCACTGTGCCATTCGTCTCCTCCCACCTTAATCACATTCCTCTCCTCACCGACAAAGCCAGAGCGACTGCGCACATAACCGCTGGTGGAAATGCAGAGCCCAGAGGATGGCCAAATTCGTTGTGACGCGTAGCCGGGTCTCGCCTGGTTCTGCCTCCAAGAGGGCATTTTCAATCTACCCACTACCGATTTCCGGGCGCATGCACCCACTACTTTCCTTCACTGTCTATGCGCCCCGAAATCGGACTCGGCACTGTACGAAACCCACTACTTACACCCAACACATACTACCAAGAGTAGCAAGGGCGATATACTTTTGGGGCTTTGTTATCACCCAACACTATTACATGAAATTACACTGCTCGGATATGAATATACAGTTGCGATTAACTCAACCAAAAAACTTCTTTTAGACTATTGTTGTGCTGTGGCTAGTCTGGTGTTTAGCGAATACATACTTGCAGTGGATACATTACAAACTTGAAAATAACCCGCTCCCCCTGGAAGACCTTTCGGAAACAACCTAAACCTGTGAAACCCAAGAATCCTGAAAACCAGGTCCTAAACCCATGAATTTAAACATTGAACCTCTACTGCATGGAGCACTTACCTGCTGCACGGGGAAGTAACATGCGTTCTTGGGCCCGTGCCAGATTCAAGAAGCAGTACTCTTGAACCCCCTGAACCTGAAGCACTATGCCCGCAACCCTGAAACCCTAAGCCCTAAATCCCTGAACCCCGCACACCTGGTGCATCGAGAGCCCACCTGCTGCACGGGAAAGTAGCATGCGTTCTTGGGCCCATGCCAGAAGCAGTACGCCTTGAAGCCCACCTGCCGCCAGTGCATGCCGATGGCCTGCTCCCCCTGATAAAGGCCTCTCATGCAGATCCCCAAACCCTGAACCCAGAACACCTGTAGCACAGGGGGCCTACCTGCTGCACAGGGAAGTAACACGCATTCTTGGGCCCGTGCCAGAAGCAGTACGCCTTGAAGTCCCCCCGCCGCCAGTGCATGCCGATGAACGGCTCCCCCTGAAACGCCTCCCGCACAAACAGCTCGGCCGCCAGGAACATGGCCCCTGCGGGCTTGATCAGCAGCGCCGTGGGGCACTTGTCCGAGCGCTTGAACGGGAGGTCCAAGGCGGCTTCCGCCTCCGGCCACTCGGCGAACTGCACGTTCACCAGGTCTCCCACTACTAGGACACGGGAGGGGTTGCTGCCATACGCCTCTAGTACCTGGGAAGGAGGGGGGGAAGGGGAGGCGAAGAGGGGGAGAAGCCAGTTGTGCGGGGGAAGCAGGGGGGGGGAAGAAGGGGAGGGGGAATATGGGGCAGCGAGGAACATAGCCCCTGCGGGTTTGATCAGCAGCGCCGTGGGGTACTTGGCCGAGCGCTCAAAGGGGAGGTCCAGGGCGGCTTCCGCCTTTGGCCACTCGGCAAACTGCACATTGACTAAGTCTCCCACTATTAGCACCCGGGAGGGGTTGCTGCCATACGCCTCTAGCAACTGGGAAGGAGGGGAGGGCAAGCGTGCAAGGGAAAATGGAAAAGCAGGGAAAGGGACGCAGGGGGGGGGGGGGGGGGGGGGGGGGGACATGGGGCAGCGAGGAACATGGCCCCTGCTGGCTTGATCAGCAGCGCCGTGGGGCCGCTACCAATGGTTTGTAACAAGCAGGTTTGACTAGAACGGGAGCAGCGCCAGCTCACCCAGATCTCAGGCAACCACGACGCGCTGGCTGCTTGTCTCCCCATGGCCGCTACCAGGACACAGGTGAGCCAGTGGCAGGAGGACACAGGTCACTGCTTATAACGAGGATGGGAGCAGCATCAGCTCATCTTGCCACTGCCAATACTCGTTGTAAGGCTCACCTGTGTCTTGGTAGCGGCCATGGGGAGACACGCAGCGAGCGCAGTGTGGTTGCCTGAGGTCTGGGTGAGCTGACACTCCTCCCATTCTATTCCGACCTGTGTCCTCCAGGCACTGCCAATACTCGTTACAATGCTTACCTGTGTCTTGGTAGCAGCCATAGGCAGGCACGCAGCCAGTGCCGTGTGGTTGCCTGAGATCTGGGTGAGCTGGCCTCTGAAGAGCGTGCGGGTGATGCGCACCCGCGTGTTGAACACAAAGCCGGGCTTGCCGATCTGGGGGGGAGGAGGCAGGAGCGGCAGGAGAGGCAGGAGACGAGGGGTGAAGAGGAGAGGAGGCTGGCACATGGGTGAGCTGGCCTCTGAATAGCGTGCGCGTGATGCGGACCCGCGTGTTGAACACAAAGCCGGGCTTGCCGATCTGAAAAAAAAAAGGAGAGGGAGGAAAGGAGGGAGGGGTAAAGAGGAGGCTGGCACACAGGTGAGTGAGCTGAACCCTGAAGAGCATGCGGGTGATGCGCAACCGCATGGTAAACACAAAGCCGGGCTTGTCGATCTGGCGGGCGGGGGGGGGGAAGGGGGGGGGAGGGGGGGGAGAGGGGGGGCAATGTTGGCGGGAGAGGTGGGAGGAAAAGGGGGGATGAACAACAGGGAGGGAGGCAGATATAGAGCTGGGTGAACTAGCAGGGTGTTTTTTAGAATTCTCAAAAACGCCCCTAAAGGGGGTGTGAGTAATGCGCTGTGCACTTGCGTTAGGAGCGGGGCAGTTCAGCAGCAGCTCTATATCCTCCTCCCTCTCTGCACACGCCCCTGGCCCCATGCCAGCACAACACCCCCAAACCTTCCCCCCATATGGCCCCACCCAAGTACCTTCCGAAGCACGTATCCGTGGCCCCCCATGACCACTGAAGCGGGGGTCCCCATTCATGCTCGCAGCTTAGGAGCTGGGCAGTTGGGCATGCGCCCCTGGGTCAACACTCTCTAGGGCAAAGGGGTTGTCACATCACCAACACAACGCACCTTCAGCAGAGCCTCTCCATCGCCCCCAACCAGCACTGCGGCGACTTTTGAGTCGACACAAAAGTCACCTCAGTTAGGCATGCGCCTCTGGGTCAACACTCTCTAGGGCATAGGGGTTGTCACGTCACCAACACAACGCACCTTCAGCAGCGCCTCTCCATCGCCCCCAACCAGCACTGAGGCGACTTTTGAGTCGACTCAAAAGTCACCTCAGTTAGGCATGCGCGCCTGGGTCAAACACTCTCTAGGGCAAAGGGGTTGTCACGTCACCAACACAACGCACCTTCAGCAGCGCCTCTCCATCGCCCCCAACCAGCACTGAGGCGACTTTTGAGTCGACTCAAAAGTCACCTCAGTTAGGCATGCGCCTCTGGGTCAACACTCTCTAGGCCATAAGGGTTGTCACGTCACCAACACAACGCACCTTCAGCAGAGCCTCTCCATCGCCCCCAACCAGCACTGAGGCGACTTTTGAGTCGACTCAAAAGTCACCTCAGTTAGGCATGCGCCTCTGGGTCAACA